TTTATTCACACAAAGATACCTGATGAAGACAAAACCTTAAGAAAGGAATTTACAGCATCAAGACAAAAGATGTGCATCTGTTATCAATCAAGTGGTCTGCAGCAAACACCAGGCAAGTTAATATTGCTGCTAGGAAAAAAAAAGAAATAAAGCAGCCACTCGCCTTTGCTGGATCGCACGGACGCTGGTTGATGAAGAAGAACTGCCTGTCTGTTGTGCTCCTCCCAACGCCATGATCACAGCGAGAAATGAAGCCCGTGATACTGTGAAACAACAATGCAGTAAGAGAAATGGAAGAGGGAAGCTAATTTTTTTTCTCAATCAGACCACTGCAGTTACAACTGATTTATAGGGGTTTGGAGAAACACCGTTACGCAGTTCCACACCTCACTGGCTGGTTCTCCCCCCCGGCTTCCTCTCTGACCAAGGCTTGGTGCTGAGCTCCAAAGAGGTATCAGAAAACTGAAAAAGCTGCTGACTGATTTAAAAGAATTTGCCACTTTTCTGCTCTGAAAGCAGAAGAGGCCGGCTGTGAACTGGCATCGGCCAGATATCAATGCACCTATTTGTTAGCCTCACATGCGGTGAGGAGAAGAAAAAAGCACATTTTAAAGCATAATTCACTGATTTACACGCATTTCACACCATTTCTCAGTAACACTACTGAAGACATACAGATATGAACCACGGACTCACAGAACACTCAAGGTGACATTCAGCAGCAGACCACAGCAACACAGAGCTGGGGCACAAGGCACAGCAGTCCTGCTCCTCTCTCATCCAACTACAGAACCTCAGTCCTGAGCTCACTCCTTCAAAAATCAGTTGATGTCCTTTTCCAAACACTATACTAACACCTATTATGCTGATCACAACTATTTTTAATACTATTAACCACCCCACTTCCTTTTTTAACTTTTTTTTTTTTAAGACTTAGGATTATCTTAAAACACCACTGACAGCAGTGGTTTCTTCTTCTCAGACTACCTATAAAGCTTTTCTGGGAGGTCTGTAGATTTGAGTCCATATTCTTCACAAACAGCTTCATTGGGAGGCAGCTGAACAAAAGGAATCAGGCTCTGCAACTGAAAAATAGAAAAAAGTGAAACGTGTAGATTTTTTTCTTCTATTGCACTGCTGCTTATTAGCCTAAAATCCATTTGATAATTTTTTTTTTCAAGTCAGCCAAGCCAGATCATCCAACAGCCAACTCCAGCCCAGCAGAAGACAATAACACAGCTGATGAGTGCTGAAAACCTCCACATTTGCCTTAGTTATTTCACAGATCTTCACATTAAACCAAATATAGACAGAGGAACAATATTATTGACTCAAATGTGACTGTCCTGCTACCTACGTATGACCTAATCTAGTTCTAAGCAAAACCAAAAGGCAAAAAACAAGTTTTGCCATCTGTAGGGTGTGCAAGGAGTCAACCCCTGCCACCTCCCTTTATGATTTTTAAAGGTTTCCTGCATCCCCTCTATTTAAGAAGGTCTTAAAAACTTCTGTTTCTAGCAATACTGCTCCTTTTGTCAGTAGAACAGAATACCTGTTTTTTCCCAAATACTGCTCCAATGTTTTCCTTTAAGTTCAGACCTCCAGCAGTGGATACCACAGGGCTCTTTTTTCCTTGGCCAACTTGATTGGTGCAATTAATCCGCACTCCTTCTGAAATAATACAGTATGCTTGCAGTATCTGGACCATTTTTGCATATTCCTATGAAGACAGAAAAAGCTGGCGCTCACACAAAACATATTTGTAAAACAACATTGTGTTGATAACACTTGCAAGATTTGCACACAACACAGACTTCCTTATGTCCAGAAGTGGTGCCACTTATTTCTTAAATACTCACAAACCAATTACACGTACTGTGTGAGAAATAACGTACTTAAAAACAAATGACATATTTGCAAGAGTGATATTCAGCCATACTTTAAATGTAGCATTCACCCAGTTAAAATACACAAAAGTGATGGCAATTTTGTTTCTTTTCAGCATTCGGAAATTTGAGACTGCCCCTCCACATGCATTCATTGCAAAACAGAAAAGAAGAAAACACATGGGAACACTTTTGTTAGGGCCAGACTCACTCAAACGAAGTCAGACTCACTCATGCTCGTCCTGATCAACGCCAGAGAACCGAGCTGTGAGTGAGGAGGGCTGTGAGAGCCCTGCAATAACTTCTGAGCTGCCTCACCTTTTTGATGTTCCTCTGAAACTCCTTATGCCGCACTGGCAAAGTGTGAAATAACTGCTGTATGCTCACAGTTGTTCCTCGCTGCCGTGGATGAGGAGCTCTCTGGGTGATCTTACCATTGTGATCAAACACCAAACGAGTCCCAAGCTTTGCAGACTTATGGCAAGTAGAAATGCTAACGTCACTGATGGAAGGAAGCAGGCAATAGAATTACCCACTGAACATCGTATTTTCTTAATCATTACTTACAGTCTCATCAGGCATAAAAAATACTACTGGTGTACTTTTCATTGTAGCTAACTTTCACCACTAACAACCAAAAACTTACACTGCTTTACAGATGCTATTTTCCTACCTACAATGCAAACATCTTTACTTGTATCCCTCTCGTTCTTCTCATATAAAGCGCAAAGATAAAGTCTGGTTTTGCTGGACACCACATTCCTCACACTAACACATAACAGCACGACAATCTTAATGCAAACTGCTCGAAAGCTGTGCTATTTCAAACCTGCAGTCTTCCTTGGAAGAATTTTAATAGAGTTTTTATGAATAGCAGTCTAGCAAATAGTATGTAGGACTGCATACTGAAGTAACACTACGTTTCATACATCAAAGGACAGATCAGATGCTTAGAATTGCAGAAGGATTCTGGATGGAAAGGACTTCAGGATGTCACACAATGTACTTCACACAAAACAGAGCTCACATTCAGTAACAGCAAGTTTCCACAGCCTCATTTTATCAATAACAGTAAGCTGAAAAGTTGGCTTCAGTTGTTTTAAGTAATTTTCTACTAGCAAGAATGCAATGTTAATACCTTAATGCACACAATGAACTGAGAGCTTCACCTCGAAACCCAAACGTTTCAACGTGTGTTAGATCAGAAAAATCTTGTATCTTTGACGTATAATGTTTCAGAGCTGGAAAGAGATATTTAGAGTATAGATTTCACTTCCAAGTGACAGTGACACTAGGCCACACGAGTACATTTTCCATATAGACTTCTGCAGACTTCTGCAATTACTTTTCAACATACAATGAGTAATAGCAACAAAACAAGACTTTCCTTTCCCCTTCACAAGCTCACTTTTAAATCCTCACACATCCTGCTGTGCCACAATTACCACCTGAAATCAATACAGCAGGACTGGCACACACCACAAGGTGCCTCAGAGCAGCACAGGTCAGCTGCTTCTGCCATCTATTTTACTCTGCAGGAGAACTGCAGGGCCATGCCGTGCAATGTTATACAGCAAACAGGCATGGGATCCTGTGCCACAACCACAGCCTGAGGAGGGCTCAATTCTATGCAATCAGCCAGCACCCATCACCAGGTAACAAACTGCAGCCCTGGACCTTCCCTGTGCTGAACAGCAGAGGAGTTCACTGCCTACCGGATAAACACTGCGAGCACAACAAGTAACACAGTAACTCGTGGTGAAAGAGGTCTCTAATGGTGATGTGGAGGAAGAAACAAGGCAGAAAGCAAGCAGTTGCACTTGTCAAATAGTGCTGCTTCTGCTCCTGTTTTGCACCGCTGAAACTAGCAGAAGGAAGGTTTGGCAGCCACGTGCACGCAGTCGGCTCCCATTCAGCACGCACTCTATCTATAGTTTACTTCCCATGAAGTCTGGCTCCTTCAGCAGTGACTCACAACTCACCATGAATAAATCTAGATGAACGTTTCTGGGACATTCTCCTCCACAATGACACCTACTCTTTGCTCCACTTAAGCAAACAAGCAAACCAAGACCTGCTTCTGAACTACAGCAAATACAACAAGAGCACTTCAGAAGCCCATTCGAATTTGTAAAGAGCAGCAGTCATTATCTCACCTAAAATATACCTCCAAAGCATCTAAACGTAAATTATGAAAGCCGTTTAACTTACTTAATCCTGCAAAGTTTTCCTCTTCCACTCCACCTCCATTATCCGAAACCTCTATCAGCTCCGCCCCGTGGTCTTTAAGTCTTACATCTACAAACACAAGAAATGAAGTCATCCAGAGCTGTTAACACACAGCGTTGGGTATCAGCGCGGTACTTGGAATAACTCCCGCCGACGGCCGTTCTCCAGGACAAGTCTGAAGCAGCACCCACCGCACCCAGCGTGCGGGCAGGGCAGGGCAGGGCAGGGCAGGGCAGGGCAGGCCCGGCTCCGTCCCGAGAACCGCCCCGAGCCCCACGTTTGTGGCGCCTGTGCAGAGCGCCGAGATGCGAGCGGTACCGAGAGCCCGCGGGGCCGCGAAGCTCCGACGGGAGGGCCGTTACCGATGCTGGTCGCTCCGGCGTCCAGGCTGTTCTCCACCAGTTCCTTCACGGCCGTGCCCAGGCTCAGCACCACCTGCCCCGAGCAGATCCGGTGCACGGACTCGCGGTCGATGCGCCTGATGGCCTCGGCGGGCTCCGAGCTGCCAAAAGAGGGGCGGAGACAGGCGGGCTGAGGCGGCGCGGCACGGGAACCCGCACGGCCGCCCCGAGCCGCACGAGCCGGGAGGGGAAGAAGCGAAAAGCCGAGGAGACCGCGCTCGCTCCCGGGAGGGGCGGGGAGGACTCGGCTGCCTCGGGCCGCTCACCAGGGCTCGGCCGCCTCCATTGATTCCCGCCGATCGCCTCGGCCGCCCGCAGGCCTGGCCCCGCCCCGCCCGGAACAGCGCCCGTCTCTCCCTGCCGAGTCACTGACCTCATTGGCTCGGGCCAGCCAATAGAAAGGAGGCGAGGAAACGAGACGAGCGAGCATTGGGTGGTGGGAGAGTCCATAAAGACACGCGCTCCCTCTGGCCCAATGGGCGCGGCCAGGCGGGCCGAGCGGCGCCGCGCGGCGCTGAGGGGAGCCGAGCAGGGAGCCGCCATGCCCATGTACAAGGTGAAGCCGCTGCACGGCGCCGCGGGCCCGCTGCCGGCAGAGCAGCTTCCCACCTGCATGTACCGTGTGTCCAGCCTGCACCGCTGCGCCACGCCGCAGGTAGGAGCGGGGGCTCGGCACGCCCAAGCCTGGCTGCCGTGCGGCGGAAGCGCGGCGCCGCGCCCGGCCTCTGGGTTGCCCCCCTTCCGCCGGGTTCCGGCTCCGCATCGCGTTCCGCGGGTTCTCCGCCCGCCTACCTGCCTGCCTCCGCTCCCGGCGCTCCGCATCCCGCTCTGCCCTCCGCGCGGAGCGGCCTGGTACTGCGCAGGGCCCGGGCGGGCTGGCGGCGCGGCTGCCTGGAGGTTTTCCTCTCACGTCGTTGGAGGTTGCAGAGTCGCGGCGCAGCCGGCGGGTAACCATGAGCGTTTCCGACACTCGAGTAGCTCAGCGCTCACCTCGTCCGCACGCACGTGAGGCAGCTCAGATACAGACCTCGCCTTTCCGCGGTGAAGGATGAGGATGCGAGTAGCGCCTCTAAAGGCTTTCAGGGTCGGGCGAGCTGTGCACTACGTGGCCCCCGAGCTGAGTGAACCCCAACGGGACTTTCTCTCCTCTAGGAAGAAGTCGACCCGTCGCTTCAAGCCCTTGAATCCCGCCAGGAGGAGATCCTGAAACGCCTGTATGAGCTGAAGAGCGCCGTGGATGGGCTCTCAAAGATGGTACAGACTCCTGATGCTGACTTCGATGTGACTCACGTCATTCAAAATGATGAGTCTTCTCCTCTGACGACAAATGGAGCGGATTTAGACTTGATGCTTGGAAAGGTAAGCTGAGTTCAGCACGTACAATGGTGGGTGGTTTCTTTGCCCTCAGCTCAGAAGGGGTGGAAGGGGGGTGTTAAGACTTGGAGCCCCCCAGAACTCACAAAATTTTGACTACAGATTTGGTAGAATTTACTGCAATATCCATAAACGTTGAAGAAGGAAGATGTTTAAATTTTTCGGTGATTTAAGTGTCAAAACTTGTTTACCCCTGGAGTTTTAAACACATGCATGGCTATATACATCTGGCAAGTGTCTTACCTGACTGTTTTTTCCTTTCTATTCAGGATTACGGTGCCCTGAAAGATATCGTAATCAATGCAAATCCTTCTGTGCCCCCATTGTCCTTATTAGTACTGCACAGCCTGCTCTGTGAGCGCTACAAGATACTATCAGCCGTTCACACACATTCATCAGTGAAAAGTGTGCCAGAAAAACTCCTGAAATGCTTTGGGGAGCAGATGAAGAAGCAACCACGCCATGAGTATCAGTTGGGCTTCACTCTAATATGGAAGGATGGTAAGAATAAGTTATCTTCCAGGGGAATACAGTAGGTCAGAAAGTGAAACTCATGCTATAGAACAGATGCTTTGGTGTAAAATGGCTGATAACACGATGGACAGGTAGCATTTCTGCTCTTCTTGCAAGTATGAACTTTTGATAGCTGTGAGCAGTGGTGGGAACAGAGAAATAAAACCGAGTTACTGCTATTAAAACACAAATGACATTTAAAAGGCAGCTATTTGAAACTCTCATCTCCAGCAATCCTGTGGATACAGATTCTACAAAGATTGGCTGAGAGATTTTTCAATCTGCAGTCCAATGGGAGCTTTTTTATGCCAGGTTATTGCTTTAGTTTAAGTATTCAGACTAAGAAAACTGAAAAACTGTTGTCAAGTTCACATTAGAAATGCTGATGGCATCAGAAACAAATCTTACCAATGTATTTAGCTTCTCTACAGTAATCACTTTTCTCTTCTTGATTTCAGTTCCAAAACCTCAGATGAAGTTCAGCATTCAAACAATGTGCCCAATTGAAGGAGAAGGGAACATTGCTAGATTTCTCTTTTCCCTTTTCGGCCAGAAGTACAATGCCATTACTTCAACTCTGATTGACAGCTGGGTTGACACAGCCATCTTCCAGCTCAAAGAAGGCAGCAGTAAAGAAAAAGGAGCAGTCTTGCGATCCATGAACGCTGCCCTGGGCAAGACGCCGTGGCTGGTGGGAAGCGAACTCACCGTGGCAGATATTGTGGCGTGGTGCGTGCTTCAGCAGACAGGCAGTGCAAATGCTGCACCAGCCAACGTGCAGAAATGGATGAAGTCCTGTGAGAACTTAGCACCTTTCAGCTCTGTTATTAAGCTACTGAAATAAGCCTGTACCTTTAGATAAACAGGGTGATTTTAACCTACTCCCACCCCACACCTACTGTCATGGTTTGAATCCTTTATGAGAGCAGTTTCTGCAGTTGGATAGAATTCTAAAACCAATAAAAACATTACAGCTGCCTTTTGTAAGTGATCTTCCTTTTTAGCTGCTGCATGAGAAACACGTTTGTTTAGTTACCTAAAGCAGTCCTATGCAAATACAAGCTGTATTTTGAATTTTTCCATCTTTTTTCTCTGTACAATTTAACATGGAATCTTTTCTGTTTAAAGAACAGACAGGAAAATCAAAATGCACCAAACTATTTTTATGTAAAAAAAAAAGTTCTTCTATAACTTAACATACAGTAGTTGTGTTCTTCCTGTACTTAAACTGGAGAACCTTGTTTCATATGTTCATCTTGTCCAGAGGAAAGCAGTCTTAGTTTCTCTTTCAGCTTTTCTATTTCTTCTTCTTGCTCTCTCACCTTTTGCTGTAGATTAGAAATAACCTGGAAATGTGAGACAGCTGATTTATTTACAGGCAGGGATAAATCCTCATCAGTCTATTGGCACATCTGTAGTCAACTACAGATAAGATTCCACAGCACAGATCTTAGTGGCAAGGAAAGGGATAACAAAGACTGCAGAGCTGACAAAAAACCTCCGTCTGTAAATCAAGTGTCCAGTCTTCAGTTACCTGCACTTACTGGCTATTTTTCTCCTTTAAAAGAAGAGCTGGAAACAGTGGCCTAAATATTCTAACAGGGAATAAAGATCTCAGTCACGCAATTCTCTTTAAATTTTTTAAAATAGGCACAAGACAGGAAAGGTAAGGAGATTGTTACAAAGCAATTTAGCTTTGATATTTTTTATCCTGAAGGCTGATGTTGGCAGTACTTACGTGTTCTGTGGTATGAAACAGCTCACTGTCACGAAGCTGAGCAGCACTTGGTCTTTCTGTGGATGCCTGACTGGTGAGAAGTTTCACATACTTGGCTTGAACAGGCCATTTCTTGTAGAAGTTACGAGGAATGTGGCCATTCCTTACATTTGTTATAACTTCTGCTCTTTCCATTTCTGTTCCAAATGGCTGGAAGAGTTCTAGCAGGATAACACCCAAGCTATACATGTCTGACTGAAAAAGGGTGAAGAAAAAGTTCTGGGATAATTTCTACTTCAAAGGACCAACCAGATTTCATCTCACAAATACTGCAGTGAGGCTTATGACAAAGTTTCAGGATAAGAAGAGTTCTGTGGCACTACTGAAGCAACTCAAATTCAAATCCATACAGATTCTTCAAAATGATCTCAGAAACACAACTTCTGTATTTAGCAGGCAAAGCTGAAGTCTGTTTCAGCAAAAAATGGGAGTAACAGTAATTGACCAAATTGTTGGAAAAAAGAAGAAAAAGTTGGAAAATTAACCAACAATGACATCACTGAGAAGCTTATGCTTTATTCCTATGATATGTCCTACGTATGCCTTACAGAAACAAGAATCATTTTACTGTCAGACTTTCTTTTCAGATGAGTGATGCTATTAACATTAAGCATATAGTTTCAGTATAGTTACCTGCATAACATTTCAGGTTATGCAGGTAGACATAAAGTCTTACCCTGGACAATCTGAATATCAGCACTAATCAGATAATAGCATTTAAATGTGTTCATAGAGGAGGGGTAAAAAACAAAACCTACCTTGAAGTCGTAGTCAGACCCCTGCAGCTGTTCTGGGGAAGCATATAGGCACGTCCCCACACCTGAGGTATGTGTCAGTCCTTTAAAACATGAGTTTACACTTATTAATGTCTTAAATATGCTAGAAACTTAAAACACTGAAACCTACAAAGATTTCTGCTCTTACCATTTATCCTTCCTGTGTGAAACCACTGGTCTGCATCATCCCAAAGGAGGTCTTGGCAGGCTAATCCAAAATCTCCTATTTTAACTTGATGATCTGATCCATGCAAAAATATATTTCTGGGCTACAAAATAAGACAGTGTGAAGTATTAAGATATCTATATAAAGGATTATGAATTGCTGAAGTTGCATTCAGCTGTTTCAAAACCTGTTGCATCCAGTCATTCAGATGTGTAGGACAATGATTCTTTCATACTTTCATCAGTGAGATAGAAGAAAATAGTCAGAGTGTTTCAAATATTCACCACCATTTGGGCAGAAAGACTACTTACGAAGGATGCAGGAAAAAAAAAGAAAAGAAAAACAGGGAAAAAAAAAAGATAATGTATTTCTCAGCAGGAAATGGCAGTTTTTCAGAACAGTAATGTTAACAGGCAAGAGTGCACAGCAAGTGAGACCTAAGTAGCAGAAATCAGTACCGAGATCACTGGGCAAGACCTCACATAAAACAGGAGTCCTCTAAACGACAAGCACAGCTGCAAAGTGCCAAGTGTTTTTCTTGGAAAGCTGGAATGGAAGCAGTTGCTGAGGCTGCTGAGTGGAGCACTGCCTGCAGAAACACGGAACGAGTTGTCCATTTATTTCAGCTGCACAAGCACCGCTGAGACGCGTTAGCAGCATGTGTGCAGGGCGAAGGAATACTTGCCACTTAAAAGAAAACAACATCCAATTACTGTTCTTTACTTACTCTGCAGCAGTTTCTGAACTTAGTGCAGTGCAATGAGAACTGCAAACAATGTTGCTTCTTACAGACTTTTCTTCTACTAAATGTCAGCTCTAGCAACACAGCAAACAGAGCAGAAGCCTTTCTTCAGTTTTTGAAACTTTTGCTGCTTTTGCAATACTTTCAGAATAGCACAGTTACTTCACAGCTGTTCTAGAATCAGGCAGCCCAAAACATCACAAAGAAAGGCACTGCTCAAAGGAAAGAGACCAAACCTTTCAGTTCTGATTACGGATTGTCATTACAAAAACTGTAACTCCCTTGTCTGCCAGTAGCAGAGTAAGCAAGACAGCCAGCAGAGCTGCCACTGCCTGTGCTTGCCCTGTGTCCTTGTGAGGGCAGAGGACACAGTTTGTGCTGTGAAGAGCTATGTGAAATCATGATGGAAAATGGCGGGAGTTAAAGCTTTACCATCTGTTAGCAAATAGCGAGTGCTTGGAAAGACCCCCACCTCACAGACCTGCTCTCCCTCCAGGTAACACTCCATGTGTTATTGATATGTATTTATTTATTTTTAAATTCAAAATAAAGAAAGAAAGAAACATTAAATGATTGTGGTTCCTGATAAGATCAGACTCATAAGTCTTCATAAAATCATAAAGAGGCCACTGGAACTGCAAGCATAAATAAGTGTTACTCTGGGGAGAAGCCCCTGGGGGCTCCCAGCTCACAGCACAGGGCTCCACGTCTCACATTTCTCTGAAGGATCAGACTAACAGGAATTTCAGAAAGAATGTCAGGACCCTCACTGATCTGAGCTGCAGTGAGGCAACAGAAAAGGTTCCTACAGAAAGTAACCTGTTTGAAGCCGTGAAAGAAAGGATCAGGACAAATGGTCACAGTGAAGCTTTCACAGTGGAGGATATCAACAAGCAATTGTTTTATTGAGCCGTGCCAGGAACTCACTGAACAACGTATTCATAAATGATGTAGAAAAAGGGTGAACAGTGAGATAAAGTTTGCTGGCAGAGAAATAAAGATGAGGTCTGAATGCCAAGAATCATAAAAGGATCTTGCAAGTCTTAACAGGCAAAAGGAATTCAGTGCAAATAAACATTACAATGCAAATAAAAGGAAAATCAATTTTACACGCACAACAACTATCTCTAAGCTGATTTACTGTTCAAGAGTGGTAACAGCCCTAAAAACAGCAATGTGATGCTCACTGCTGCTTCATGAAGCAAAATGCACATCACCAACTTTTTTTTTTTTTTTTTTCCCTTTGGAGAGGGTAGGGGAGATGAAGAAGAAAACATTACACAGTCCTGTACAAATTAATGAACTGTCACCTCCAATACTGCCTCTCATCTCAAATACAATTATAGAAACACAGAACATCCCTGGTTGGAATAACACATAAGAGAAGTGGAATGACGTGCAGAAACAGCTGACAAGAATGTTGAAAATTTGCAATGTCTTTGATTCAAGGAATCACTAAATATAAAACATAAGACAACCTGTTAGGTTTAAAACAGATCTATTACATCAAACGTAGAATGGAAAGAGTGAGTAGGAAATACTACTCAGTCTGTAATTTGTGTAAACAGCAACCAAAAACAGAAGCAGTACCTGTTGACTCAGACTCATTTGTTGTTGACTATACTGCTGAAACTGAAAACTTATCATGGTAATTTTTAAAACAACATTTCCTGATCTAAATAGAGAAAAAGAGGCAAGAATCAGTCACAAGTTCATGGAGCCACAAGTGACAAGTTTGTCCTAGGAGCTGCTTAATACTGCTGGTTTGCAATAAATCTGATGACAGAACTGACCCATAACAAACTGTAATCCACACATCCAGAAGCACTGCTAGATTGTATCACAGATCCACTGGAACTTCTGCCTGCTTATGAGTCTTCTGTGAGTTTCACTGACCTGAAATCAAACTATATTGACACATTTCCATGCTATAAAACTGAGAAATACAGGAGGAAATTAAGTATAACACCATTTGTTGCATTCCTGCTAAGCACATGGGAGCAGTGATTAACAAAAATAAGTTAACGATCCAGCTGCTCTTCGGTCATTGCCATCCACAGAGCTTGCTCTGTTTTGTGACCTTACTGCGTTACACTCCACCAGTCCAGAAGTATTTTTTCCTCAGTAAAAATGAACTAACTTGAAGCTATGTTTTATGTTACAGAAATAACCAGAGGCTACACAGCACTCCATCTCCTACTCAACTTGCCCAGTGCCTGCAGAGCTGCGATGTCCACTTGAGGCAAATCTCAGAGAAGTCGGCCAGCTTCACAGAGTAACACAGAAGAGTGTCTCTATCTTGCACAACGTAAAACACCAGATAAAGCCTGAAATGAGTAACTGCAACTGTGACCACCTGGTACACTCAAGTCAACAGTCTGATGATGACTTTCCACCTACATCCATTCTTTTTGAATACTGTCTCAACACAAAGGACACAGCCAAATCTGGCTGGATGCCTCTTCACATAGCTGCAGGGTCACTGAATGCAGAGGCAACAGCAACTTTAATTGCATC